CCCCAAAACCCCAAAACCCCGCATATATTATTTTAATAAGCAATTAAAGATATATAAATCAAGAATAATATTTTAATATAAGATATATTAACTTAACTCAATTAATAATCTAATATCCTATCCTTAAAATGAAGAAATATATTACAATCGCTGGAGCTGCTCTCCTCGGACATGCATCCGCTTAAGAAAATTTAGCTGCTGCTGAACTATCAGTTGAAAGCCCAAACCCATAAGTTTACCTCTATGGTGGATATGTAGATCCACTCTATCAGCCATAACACTAACTTAAAGAATAAGCTTATCTTGAAACAATGCAAAAGATCTATGGAACTAAAGTATATTCTCCATAAGTTCAAGCCGCTAATGATGATCCACTCGCTGATGTATTAAGAGAAACTAAGCAAGCCGATTATCTCTAGATGTTATAAAACATTCAAGACGGCCCTGTGCCTGCCGGTCCTAACCCATTAGGTCTTACTGCTTATCAGCTTAAGGAACAAGCTATACTTAAAGCTTACCAAAATATTTATGGAAATAATGTACAATAACCAAAGGTACAACAAGATCCACTATCCGACGTAGAAAGAGAAATGAAATAAGCAACTTATCTCTCAGGAATGCAAAACATCTATGGACATTATGCTAAAGTTTAATCGTCTAAACGGGACAACTTCGATCCTTTGTTTGATAAAGTATAATTTACTGGTGATTGGCGTTACTATGATTCATACAACGAACCAAAGATCTATGATACTTCCTACGAACCATAAGACGTTCAAGGTAGTCGTTATAAACAACACCCAGTTGATCCATTGGCGAAAACTGAATGGGAACTCAAATAATAAGCCTATCTTGAAGCTCTCTAAAAGATCTATGGAAATAAAGTCTAATCAGGCAATCCATTATCTGATTTAGAGAGAGAAATGAAATAAGCTACCTACTTAAGTGGAATGCAAAACATCTATGATTATTATGCTAAAGTTTAATAATCTCCAGAATAAGAGCAAAGAAGACTTAAATAACTAGCTTATCTTAATGCTCCAGTTAGATTTTACGGGCAATAAGTTCAAAGTGGGAACCCACTTGCAGATGTTGAGAGGGAATTGAAATAAGCTACCTATCTCTCGGGCATACAAAATATCTATGGTCATTATCCTCTTGTTGAATCTTTTCTAAGTGGATAGATTATGTGTATCAGAGCTCCATGCCCATCAGTTGAATCAACTAATAGCCACTGGCAAGAAGTAAGGAAGTCTGTCTTAAAAAACCCTTGGGATATTAGCCTCTTAGAAAATGGTTAAACATAAGTCCCTCAAGTTTAAAATGAGAATCCTCTAGCTGATGTAGAGAGAGAATTGAAGCAAGCTGCATACCTAGAAGGTCTAGAGAGAATACATGGGCATTTAACTCCACTAGTTCAAAACTATAATGATAAATCAGAGATGAGATCTACAAGAAGATATACAAGCGACTGGGAGGATGATGAATGATGTTTTATTGGCCATCTAAAAGGAATTAATTTTATTATCTTACTTAATTTATCTTAATTTCATATAACTTTGGAATTATCAAAAGTAAATCATAATCATACGGGGTTTTGGGGTTTTGGGGTTTTGGGG